TAAAGAGACTATCGCGTTATTATTTTGCGGAGGCCGTGAAATTCGCTAAACGACCCTCCTGAATTCTAAGTAATTTTAAACAAGTATTTACTGAGGGCCCCGCAATTTGTGTTTTTATTCGGCGAGGCTCATCTCAATCTTATTTTTTTTAAAAGGAATTTGCAACGTCATGGACATGCATCTCGAACCACGTTACAATCAGTGTACCCGCGATTTAGAGACACATTTCAACTCCGCTGAGATTTGGATTTGGGTCACATAAATGTGCACCCGAGTTAGGGAGGATAAATTATTAAAGGCGCGCCTAAAGCAACTAGCGCATTATTATTTTGGGTAGGGCCGTGAATTTTGCTAAACGGCCCGTCCCGGAATCTAAGTATTTAATACATATATTTTTGTGAGGGCTCCGTAATCTGTACATTTTTTATTTTTGGCGAAGCTTGTCTCGCTTTTTTTATTATTATTATTTATTTTTATTTTTATATATATTTTTTAAAAGGATGCCATTTTTACGCCTTTAACAATACTAAACCTTACGACTTCTTTACAACTAAAATCTCATAACTTATCAAAATTCAATAAAATAAGTCTAGTGAATGGGTGTTTCGGAAGTGGTAACAACAAGTACTAATGCTAATTTTGCCCGAACGAACTAAGAAAAAGACCACGAACAAATTAACATCAAACTTGTGTCATAGAACAACTAGCCCAACTTAATTAAATGACATCAAATAAACAAGAATAACACAATGCAAAATGAACAAAATGCATACGATGAAAACACGAGCAGAAAATTATCATACCAATTTCTATATTGCATCTTCGAACATTTAACGTAACATTTCCTTATCTAATACTTGAGGTTTACTAACCTTTGAACCTCAACAACCTCAGAACGACAAACACGATCCCGACGGAACTCAAGCCGGACCTCTCTGAACGAAGAACAACGACGGAACCTCGGACAGCACCTCGACGTACCGGACCTCGACGAACCAAAGTCGACCTCGACGGAAAACAGAAAACTCGGCCAAGCAAGATCGCAGCAACCCACCGCTGCTCGGAAACGCAGCTACGACTGCTTGGCATGCAGCAATAGCTGCTCGTTGGACTGAAAATGGCGGACTGGTTCTTGGCTACGGAGAAGGAGAAAAATGGTCGTGGGGCTGCTTGGTTCATCAGGTGGTGATGGAGGTGGGAGTTGGTTGCGACGGGCTGTCGACAATGGAGCTAGGAGGAGGAGGAATGGTCGTAGGCAGTTTGGGTGGTTTGACGATGCTGAGGAAGCTGGTGGCGACGTGAGGAGATGGTGGTTGAAGGGTCGTTTGGTGGTTTACTGGAGGGGTCGCGACGGAGAGGGGGTCAGCTGGAGCGACTGGTTTGGAGGTGGAACGAGGGTGGTGGTGTTTGGTGGGGGTGACGACGGGGTGCGAGGATGGTTTTACGTGAGGGAGTGGTGGTTTTGGGTGTAGGGTTGCTGGTGGTTTTTGGGACAGTAGGGTTTTTTGTTTTTCTTCTTCTTCTTTCAAAGGAGGAAGAAGATGAATAGTCTCCTCCTCTCAAATTTTAAAAATCAGTCCCCCCCTTCAAAATGTTTTGTCCGTGTGTTTTGTAATGGGTTTGCCCAGAAAAATGAGCCCCA